AGTCTGCCTGTCTGTGTCTGCGTCGGCGTGAGTAGGGGTGGGTGTGAGGTATCGATAGAGTAACGACAGGATGTTTTTTTATGTTTATTCTTCTTAAGATGACACAACGAATCCATCTCCATCATAGAAAAGAGTCTGAGACAGATTAGCAATGAATTCATTGTGTATGGCATCTCGACGAGTATCGTCGCGTTGCCTGTCTGAAGCTTTCGATTTTTGCAGCGGGTAACAATCAAGGTAGACACCAAGAAGATGCCCGATGAGCACACAGGAACCGGGGGACCCCAAAAAACAAAAGCATGAAAAACAAAAGAAAGAAAGAAGCGAGAACAAACGAGTCAGACGCGACAGGCTTCAGGGAGGAGGCAAAAGAGCGCATAGAAGAAAAGCACCGTCGCCGCTCGCTCCGGACCGCTGGAAACTCTCACATAGCACTACATATGGAGCAAATATTAGGTAGGGCCCAAGTCCATTGCTTGGCATAACGCCCATCGCTTCACATGCAGCAGCCGGATGCACGGGTAGCCTCTTACTCAGCAAAAAGCGAAACGACTGCGGTTGGTTGACGTTCGATGTTGTTGGGACCCTACCGGCGAAAGGCGAGAGAGAGAGAAAGAGAGGTAGACAAAAATACGAGAGCGGAGAGAAGACAAGGCATTGACTCTCTCGAGAAGAGAAGGCATTGACTCTCTCGAGAAGAGAAGGCATTGACTCTGTCGAGAAGACACTCACTCTCGTCCCTCTGGCCCGCCGCAGGCTGTCAGACATGATGTCACGTTGTGTATCGAACGGCGATATCCGATGTCGGCTCAGCAACAGCAAACAAGCACAACAACAAACAAATATAGTCAGTCGCCGTGTGCGAGCTGTGGACTACTATCTTGTTGTAGGAAGTGAGAACTAAAAAGAGCACGACTACATAGCACCACGGACGAACTATTATCGCAATACGCTTGCCGTCCGCCATAGATGCGCACCGCTGCACGAACGAGCTGTTGGTTATCATACCTCACTACGTAGTATCTAAGATTGTGCTGCCATCTAGCTTACCTATCGCTCAAATTACGACTACGCAGCAGACTCAAGGCAAGGAAGCAACACGCGTGCCGATGCATACCAACCATGCATGCAGCAAAACAAAACAAGGCGGACCGTCTGTTGTTGTTTGTCTCTTCAACTGACTGTGCTGCCGACAACGACACTGGAAAAAAGTAGGAGACGCGCATCGCCTACGCGAGCAACGCGTGCAGCCCAAAACAACAGAGACGATAACCTTACGACCTTTCTTTTCAGCACATTCCGAGCATATACTGCAGCAACCGCAAGTATGTGTACAGCAGCAGCCGCATGTTGTGTACAACAACGGTCACTCAGGAAGAAAAAAATCACAACAACAAACAAACGCAAAAAAAAAAAGGTGGTGGCGCGCAGCACGCAGGACCCTCTTTCGCTTTGAACCGGCCATTCATTCCCATGGCGAAACAGACAAGGTACAGCAGTGAAGGCCGACTCTTGCCGGCCCCAGGAGGCGGAAGCTGCTACAACTCGGGGACGGGTCATGATTTGCGATTGATTCCTCACCGAACGGATATCGAACGATGACACTACTGTTTCAACTAGCTTCAGAAAAGCTTCAAAATTAATTGTGAAACTTGCATAGAGATGGCAAGTAAACACCCCGTTCCAAAGAATATCTGTCGTTGATTTTTATTGACTTGCGGACCTTTCGGGGCCAGTTTGTTTTAGCGTACCTCTTTAGGGTAAGTTAGCCTGTGACCACGGGAATCGACCGCGTCAAGTGTTGGATCAGTACGCACATATGAAGGTACTGGGTAGAGAGAGATCTGAACGGTTTTTAATGCGAAGACAACAACAACAACAACAACAACAACATTTAAAACTGAACTAATGGGTGGTGGGCGGATGACCGGCGGACCCCAAAAAGCAAGCGGAAAAATAAAATATAGACTATGTTAAGAAAAAAAAGAAAAAGAAGAAGGGACGACAAAGACAAGTGAGCCAGACGCGACAGGCTTCAGGGAGGTGGCAAAAGAGAGCATACGAAAACCACCGTCGCCGCTCTGAACCGCTGGAAGCTGTCACATAGCACAGCATGCAGCAAACATTATAGGGGCCATGCCCCCGTTGCTTCAAATAAAGAGGCAGCGCCCATCGCCTCACATACAGCAGCCGGGTACGTACTACACAAATAGCCTCTTACTCAGCAAGAAGAAAAACGATTGCGGTTGACGTTCGATGTTGTTGGGACCCCAACGGCGATAATAGGCGAGAAGGAGAGACAGGTGCTACTACTACGTAGATCAACAGAAGAAAGCGTAGAGAAGGCATTAATTAACTCTCGAGACCCTAACCGAAGACACTCACTCTCGTCCCTGTGGCCCACCGCAGGCTGTAACGAACGACGACATCCGATGTGTGCTCAGCAACAACAAACGCAACAAACCAAATATAGTCGCCGTTTCCGAACTAACTGTGGAGACTCTCTTTCATCACTTGTGGTATGAAGTATGTATGAAGTGACAACGAAATAGAAAATGATGACGAGAAGCACCACGGACGAACTATTTTCTCAATACGCTTGCCGTCGCGATAGACGCGCACCGTTCCACGAACGACCAGTTGTCAAACCTCACTACGCAAATAAGATTGTTGTCCTGCCATCTACCCCTTATCGCTCAAATTACGACTACGCAGCACACTAAAGGTAAGTAAGGCAGCAACACGCTTGCGATGCTTTACCACCCATCCATGCATGTAAGAGAAGAAAAAAAAAAGGGTATGGCGGACCGTCTGTTGTCTGTATCTTCAACCGTGCTGCCGTTGCTTTTCTTCATGGATATCGGCACAGAGAAAAAATGAGGAATGCGCATCTCCTACGCGAGCACGGCGTGCAGCCCAAGCGACAGAGACGATAACCTTATGACCTTTGCAGCATCTTCCGAGCATAACAGCAGCCACCGCATGTGTACAACGGTCACTATAGACTAAGGAAGAAAATCACAAAATCACTGGTTATCGCCCCACAGCGAGCGATAGCTGCTCAAACGACTGTGAGAGGTCTTGAAATCGTCTCAGCTACCCAGAACTGCTGGTAGTTGCCGGAGATTTGCAGGTACGTACTGCTTTTGCCTACCACTCTCGTCCTCTCGTCCGCACATCAACAACAACAATAAATGCTAATTTTCGCACCACAAAAGAGCCATCCATGCAGAAAGTTGCAACAACAGAACAAAAGCAGCTCCTGCTGTATGTACACAGAATGTCCAGCTGTGTGCTGAGGTCGGTCAGCATCTCGAGAGAAGCGTAGCCAGCAAGCAAGGCTTGGCGCGGGACACGAGAGAAGCAAGCAAGGCTTGGGGCGGGCGGCGAAAAAAAGAAGACGACTCTATATAAAAAGATCTGTAAAAAGAAGGGTTGGCGCGGGCGGCGAAAAAAATGAAGACGACTCTTATACAAAAAGATCTATAAAAAGAGGACCCTCAACGACAAGTCAACCAATCTGGTCGTTCCGATGTGACGATGTAACGCAGATCTTTTTGTCGACGGAGAAACTGGTTATCGCCCCACAGCAAGCGATAGATGCTCAAACGACTGTGAGAGGTCTTGAAATCGTCTCAGCTACCCAGAACTGCTGGTAGTTCTCGGAGGTTCGCAGTGTGGGCTGAGATCGGCCTTTTCGACCCGGTCGGGCAAGGGGTCCGCTATGCTACTGAAAACTCCACAGACGGAAAAAAAAGACTTTTGATCGACTGAGACCCAAGCTAGAGCTTGGGAATAATTTTTAGTGGAGATGCGCGTGCGCGAGAAATAAGACCGTAGCAACACCTCTCGCTCCGTCATCCTCACCAGGGACAACGGGAGTTTACTCAAAAAGTCGCTGATGCCCTTTTCTAAAACGAACGACCTGAAACGAAACATCCGTGTCGAAAGAGGGCGTTTGGCTCAGGCAGCAAAAGATCGTCACCCCCCCCGCGCTCGCGCGACCAGCCAATCACACCCTTGTGCCGTCAGAACCTCGTATGCCCGTGTGTCCAGGCGAAGAAGATGACCCGCTGTGATCGCTTCAACGAGGCGCACATATAGGTGCCGTTTCGTTCAAGTTTCTATTGCGGTTTCGGCCTCTCGACGAGCCGATTCCGCCGCCACCGAAGCCTATCAAGAGACCTGGGGAATTTGCCTCTTACTTGAGATAGAAATCCCTCTCAACGGGATACCGAGCCCATCAAATCAGACCGTCAGGTTTACCACGACCTGAGAACCTTAAACTGGAATCGCTCCTCCGTCCTGCAGCTGGCGATCGAACCCCTTTCTTGCCCCTCCCGACAACGCAGCAGCAGCAGTCGATTCGTCGTGGCTGAGCCAGACTTTCTCACTCTCCCTGCTGTACTGCTAAAGAGACCATACGTCCGTACCCGCCCCTCCCTCCTGTCGACCCGACCTCCGTGCTAAAAAGAAGAAACACGTCACGTCGCCCACAGCCCAACACCGACCCGAAAAGAGGGAACGGTTTCTGAAAAAGCGAACGGGGGTTTCCCAGAGAGCAAACGGGGGAATCCTAAGGAGGGGATAGGGATTTCTTCACGAGGGAGAGGAGGTTTCCTAGAGAGGAATTGAGGTTTCCTAGGGAGGAAAACGGGGGTTTCAGACGCGCGGCTAGAGATACACGTTCCGAGCAAACCAGGGAGCTACGAAACGGGCTGGGCAGAGACACGCACTATTACAACCAGGACAACCAGGACGACACGTCTACAGCTGTTGGAAGACGAGAGCTAAACAGATCAATATGGACAAGACAAGACAGTCACGACGCCCACTTTTTATTTTATTTTCCTTTCCTCCTTCACATCCCTCGTGCTGCTGCTTGTCTCATCATCTACATAGCCTCGGACACCTTTCCCAAGCGACTGCAAAAACCTCAACCAAAACACCGACAACAACAACCTCTCCACGCCCGGCGGCCTCATCGGCTCGACACCGCGCTACGGCGACCCGAAACTCCTCGTCTCGCCCGCCGCCCGCCGCGGCCACGATTCCGATTTTGGTTCGAAGAGGAGGCGGCCGCGGCGGCGGCCAACAGCTCCTCCCAAGACGTTGCGGTCGAGGCTGCGGGGATCGACGAACGCCGCGGAGAGAGAGAGGAGAGCCCACCGGAGAGGGAGGAGGAGTTGCTGAAGTCTCGGAGGCGTCGCTGCTGCTCCGGGGCACGCAGCTTCCTCATAGCCGTGCCCTCCACGCGTCGCACGTAGTTCTGCGACGTGCGCACCATCTCCGCGATCTGCCGCAGGGACTTTCGCTTCCCGTCTTCCAGCCCGAACCTGCCGGGTAAAAAAAAGTCCCGACAACAACAACATAAAAGGCGGCAGGGGGACGGGGAGGGTAGGGCGATGTTCATGTCGTATTTCTGCCTCAAGGACAATCGCCTTCCGTCTTCCAGTCCGAACCTGTCACGTCAACTATTTACCGTAGTTCCAACAACAAACCAACCAAAAACAGCAACAAAAAACGCGGCAGAGTAGGGGTGAATGTTGATATTGTGTCTGCCGCCCTCCCAGTCAGAACCTGTCACACACCCAGCCAGAACAAAAAACAATAAAAAAGGACCAAGGGGGACAGGGGGGGATATTGCTGTAGTCGCTATATTGAGTCCTTGAGTTTGTGTTTGGACGAACATATATGTATTGTCCCGAAATCTCACACGAGGTAGGGTAAACCTCGGTTTCATTTCCTACAAGGAGTTCCATATCGGGTTGTGGACGCCCTACTGCCCTCTCTCGCCCAATTGACATTCGACATTGACATTGGCATAGTGGGGGGGGGGGGTCGTGTGGCTGCCCAAAACAAAAAAATCGTACTCCAGGTGTGAACAAAACAAAAAACATTCTGGTGCACCTCCACCCCTTGCCCAACAAAAAAAGAACAGCATTCCTGGTGCTGCTGTGACAGATTTTCTCGACTCGACTCTCGCGACAAGTAATCTCGTCATTGCATCGGTTGTGAGCTGTGAATGTGTGTGTGAGGTGTGTGTGTCCGTCCCATTTATGTATTCTGGCGCCAGTCCACACACATTTTGGTGTACATGTATTTCACTGAGATCAGCCGGGGGGCTGTGCGCGCAATGAACATGAGGCTCACGCATCACACGCCTGGGGCAACCAAAACAGCTCGGCCCGACACAGAAAGAACAAAGAGACGCACAGCAGTCGCACAGCGCGGTACGATTTACCGCAATGCACTATCCAACAAAAGCACCTAATCAGCCGTTATACACTCGAATACCCGAAACAAAAAACACACCACGAGCTTTATTCGCGGTCGCTGCCCTGCCCACAAGACAGACTGCCCGCGACTTTCCGCTCGTCAGCCGGTTAGCCCGGGGCGATACACACATTGGGGGATAAATCATCAACACCCGAGAACGCTCGCCCACGGGTTCGCTTCTCCGATGCAATCTCTTCCGAGGCTCCCCCACCATA